TACCGTCAGCATCCCACAAAAGGCTCTTTGAGCCTCGTTTTGTGCATATAAAATCGCAAAATCCAAAAAGCCACATACCATATATTTTTGACTGCTTTGAATGGATACATTTTTTACCCATTTTTCCATTAAAATATTATCCATTCAAATTTCCATTTTAAATATTAAGTTTCCATTAAAATATTATGGTGGGTCTTGAGATTATACAGTTTACCAGTTGTTTAAGCTATTTTTATAATTGTCGTCAATATTTGAAGTAAGTCCTTCTGTGCATTTTTTTGTCTCTTTTAATCACTAGACAAAAGTTAGGCTACCTCACATATGGGCCTCAAGTCATCTCTGACAGCCCCCTGCTTAGCAGTCTTTATCATAACCTTCCAGATTTTTCCATCAGACGAGGCTACAGTTGGCCACTCACTGCACTTTGCTTACCCATTTTTTATCAGAATTGCATCTCCTTATTAAATATTATCTCTCTCTTCAGTCCATTTCCTTCTGGATTGCAAGAGGGACAAGTACTCCTGCTTCCATCACTTCCAGAATGAATCTGCTAACATCTGAACTTGACGCCACTGACTTTTGTGCAAGTATCCTAACTCAAAGTTTCCTGGTGGAGTTGGGGCAACGCTTGCTTTCTGGGTTAAGTGTATTGTCGGTGAGAATACCTGAGGCATACTTGCATCTGTTGATATTGGGGTTAAAGGTCGGGAATTCATAATGGCCACGACTTCTGCCATTAAGGTTGTTAAGACCTCATGTGTAAGTCTTCCAGAATATGTCTGGGTATCCCGATCATTCTTTCCCACACACACCCCATATGAGAGGAGTGTGGAGCATTGAATGTCCAAGAGCAGCTTTGATTCCAAGTGAACTGCTCTACTACTCGAGCAACTGAATATGATAGCCCATCACTTGTTCTCAGTGCTGTGGCCTCTTGTTTTGCATGCCACCACAGTGAAAGGTCCAAAAACATCAAGACCTGTGTAAGTGAATGGTCCAAAAACATCAAGACCTGTGTGAGTGAAAGGTGGCTACAGAAAGCCGGTCTAGGGGCAAAGCCGACATCTGGCTCTCCATTTAACTCTCAGCTTGTTGCATATGACACATTTGTGGATGATATTTGAATTGCGTCTTTTGGAGTCGACAATCCACAATTCTGCACTATGTATAGCGCCCTCCATAAAATGGTGACCTTGGTGAGCTGTTTGATCATGATAATGCTGAAATAAAAGATCAGTCAAATGATGTCTGGGATGAAGTATCAAGAGATGCTTCTCTGGATCTGAGATGTCAACATTGAATGTGACCCCGAATCTTAACAGACCTTCTTTGTCCACAATGGGGTCAAGTCTTAGGAGTGTGTTACATTTTTAGACTTTACCATACTTGGTTAGACTCTCAAACTCTTCTAAGAACACTTCTCGCTGTACAGTTTTAATCATAGTCGACTTCGCTTGTAAGGTCTCAACATCTGAGGTCTCAACACCTGAGGTCTCAACACCTGAGGTCTGAGGCATTGGTACACCAATGCCACTTTCGACAAAGACTGTTAGGTGAAGATTGTGAGAAGGGTTTTGTGATGTTATTAGGAGTTGTGACAGCTCTCACCAAAGACCTCCATCTCGAGAAACTTTGAAATCTGCTTGAGTCTAGGGACTGCTCAGTAATGCCCGTTTTCGGGACTTTGACTTGAGAGCGAATTTCAACATCCTTTTCTACTTGGACAAACCCCACATGAGGCTGTCCATTTAAGTCCATTACTCTGAGATATGCTACCACGGCAATAGCTAAAGTTGAAGCATCTGCGAAATGCACAGCTTAAAAAGTGGAACTCTGCACACTGAGGTTGAAAATTAAGCTCGGGGTATTTGCAATCGGTCAAGCTCTGCTAAAGATGAAATCCAGGCCTTCCATGGAACTTCCTTTCCTGATGGAAGAATGGTGACTCAATCCTGCGGGATTGTAATAAAGTTCCCTTACTAAAACTTTGTCTTGCATAGTGATTGGACAGCCAAACCCGTGAGGATCATATAAACTATTGAAGGTGGAAAGGATGTCTCTTCGGTTGAAGGGTTTGCATTCTTGAGAAGCTTTAAACATAAAGCAATCTGTCTTGAGGATCCAACTTGTACCAAGGCTGCTTTGGAGAGATTGTATCTTCACCGAAATCTAGGTCTTTGAGATGTTCGGCTCTTTCACTTGAAGGAAATGCTTCCATCACTAAAGCACTGTTGGAGGTGCTTTAAGAGATCAGTGGCTTCTCTTTCAGTTGGAACAGACGTGATACCATTGTCTACATAGAAGTTGCGCAACACAACATTCTTAGCATCTGTTCTGCACTTCCACTGCTTGTCTCGGGGCAAATATTGCAACTGCTGGAGACGAATTATTGCCAAAGATGTGTACAGTCATTCTGTAATCAATTATCTCTTTTTCTGGACAGTCTTCTTTGTGCCAAAAAAGCGAAGATAGTTTCGATAAAGCTCTTATACTTTAAAGCAATAGAACATTTGTTCTATTACTGCAATCACTGCTATTTTCCCCCTACAAAAGCACAACATCATACCCAAAAAGTGTTGTTGAGGTCTGGACCACTCAGAAAAACATCATTTAGGCAAACTCCCCTGAACTGGGCACTTTAATCAAAAACCACCCTTATTTTTTTGCTTTGCAGGGGTGGTAAACACCAAAAAGCTGCAAATACAATTCCTCCTCCGAATGTACGAGTGGAGCCATTTCTTTTTCTTTATGCTCGATCACCTTCTGCATGAAGTCTAAGAAATGCGTTTTCATTTTTGGTTTCTTTAGAAGAGTGCATTGTACAAAGCTTAGCCTCTGCATTGCTTGCTCTCTACTATTTGGGAGCTGAATCCTTGGGGAGCGGAATGGAAGTGACGTTACCCAGTGTGTATCCTCGTCAAGGTACACCTCTTTATCAATCATGTCTAGAAAGACTGTTGTCCTCCACAGATAGAGGGCGTCGTCTGGAGATCTGAAGAACACCTCATATTGACTCATTGAATAGTTCTCATTAAATTTGAGAGAACATGGGGGGTTGAGAATGTATGACAAAAGAGGTGATTCAGCTTTTTATATGACGTTAATGTGCACGAAGTAAAGGATGAAGTTCATCTATTGAGAAGTACGTTAGTCTTGTAAGCGTTCACACTAGATTGACGATTAATGCCATCAAGGCAAACTTCTCCCACTATCACCCAGCCCAGGTCTAAGCGCTGTGTATATGGTGTGTTGTGGGGTCCATTTCGTTGTTCACACACTTTGTGCACACTAAGAACATCTCGTCCTAAGAGGAGAAGGATAGGAGCGTTAGGATTGAAAGGTGAGATTTTATCTGACATCACAGTGAAGTAAAAAAAATGCACAGCTACTTCAGGCGTAAGGATTTTAGATCTATCTTCTGGTAAGCCGTCGCATTCCATCAAGGGTAGAAGAGAAACTACCGTTTTTCCATCAAGTGATTCAGCAGAGAATCCATTTGCTTTTCTCCCCACCATAGACACTATGCCTGAACATGTCTTCAGTGTGTAAGGGGAAAATGTAATAGATCTTCACCAAAGATCTATTACTCAGCTCATCTAGTACAGCATACATGCCTTTGGCCTTTTTACACTGATTAGAGGGATGAGCTTTCATGAGAACATGATTTGGGCTTATTAACATCTCAGCAAATCTCTACGCACTTGTTGGTGACTTAAGCTGTGTCATCACCAGTTTTTTTTTTTTTTTCTTTTATCTGTTCTGTCTTTGACTCAGGCGCCTTAATAGACCATTGTGCAGGTCCAGGATGCAGTCTCTCACAACATGCTTGGTGAAACTGCAACATTTAAAACAAATGGACTTTTTCTTCAGGTGTGCTTTTCATTCATCCAAATGTTTGCTTTTGTGTGTGTTCGACACATATGAAGTGGATAAGGCTTATTGTGCACAGTGCAAACCTTGTTTGGTAATGCATTTTTTTTCCAGGGTTCCTAGCCATTATTTCAGTTTTTTGACAAAGACAGAAGCTCTGTTACTCATCCTGGAAGCCCTGTCAGATTTTGAGCTTCTCAAAATAGACAGTTGAAGCAAATGCAAAACTAGCATCATTTCTGGTTTTTGCTTGTCGACAAACAATCTCAACAACGAACTTAAAAGAAGGAAAATATACTTTATGGTTTTCTTTATACCTGGAAACATGTATAATCCATTTGTCTTGAAGACCGAACCGTTTTTTTTTCAACAATGGGGTTTACTCCTCATGCTATTTTGAGGTAAGCTAGTCCAGGCAAATCTCCTCCATACTAGTTAGATTGAGTTCACTGGTTAAAGCTTGAAAAGATGTTTTTCACACCCTGTAATTTTCAGGTCAGTCACAAACCAAACAAACAATTTCTTATTTCAGCAGATATGTAGTGAAGTCATTGACGTGTGGCGCTGACGTAGAGCCCCCAGCAGGTTCTTGTGAGAGGGGATCTGATTCACACTGTGTTATTACTGGATAGATTTGATGCCTCACCTCATCATCTCCACCATATGGATCAATCTTTACTTTCGAAAGAGAGCACTGGTGGCTGTGTTTAACTGTGTGTGCTTGCTTCATAGAAACTATCTCCGATTAAGACTACTCTTGTACTCTAGCCTTCACCATAACATTGTGTCACATACTGAGAATTCTCACTTAGGCATTAACCTAATTTGTCTACTGTCACTAGAGCTTATGCTACGAAAGCTTCTTGGGACAGTTTTATGATGGATTCATGTTTTAGGAACAAATGTGAATGCAAAAACACCCATGAATGTGCATTGTTACAGAACAAAGCAAAAAAAAAAAGATGCCTGTAGGTCCTGTTCACCATTTTTAATTTATCTTTTTGACTTCATAACTGTATTCCATATAAAATCTTCCCTTTGTTGATTGTAGAAAAATTTGATACCTTTTACTTTAGTGTTTTTGACTGTTTTTCAGACATTTTAGATTTTTGTCTTGTTTTTATTTGTAGGACTGTTTGTGATCAGTTGGGGGATGTTTCTCTGGCCTTCATGGTGTCATCTCATAAACTATTCAAGGAACTTCTTCAAGAAGAAGAGAAGAAAATCCTGATGGAGCAAATGAGAAAAAGCTCAGATGTCATAAACCTCAGTTCCAAACCACTGCCATCATTTTATGATATACCTGGTATATCCCGAAGTAGCCTGATGGGTTAATAAAAAAATATCTAAATTGTATAATCTGTACTGGTTGTGATGTGCTCTTTTTGTTTTGTTTTTAACAGCATCTGCCAGTGTGAACATCAGTCAGCTTGAACAGCAACTCATTCTGTCATTAGATGCTAGGCATATTCGACAAATACTTATTGAGCTGCACGGGATGGCAGAACGACCATTCTGGATGGTTAACACTAAGGTAAAGTAACGGTGCAGTAAAAGCTTTAATGCTTTTTGTTTCTCATTTTAAAATGTGTAATTGTGTTGATAAAATCTAGTCTTGTGTCCTTTATTTGTGTAAATTGCATAACAGACTCAAGAGTATTTCATATACTTTGTTTTGCAGCTAATTAAGTACATTGTGTCAGTCTTTGACTGATTTTGCAGTATCAGTTGTAGGGCTGCTCGATACATCGTTTCAGCATCGAAATCGCAATGTACGCATTCGCGATAGTTACATCGCAGGAGTTGCGTTGTAAAGCAAAAATAAATTATATATAAATATATTATGGGTGGAGCCGAACCCGAATACAGTATTCGGATAAGCACGAATAGCGTGTTTTTACCAATACTTATTTTGAAAAATAGAGTGAAAAACACTTTACTGCATTACTATTTTTGTTAAATAAATTTTTGTATCTGAACAGGGTTCCAGAGGCAGTTTATAAACTTGTAGCGTACTTAAAGCGGAGTTTGATTGGTATATTATTCCTTTACGCTGCATTATTGAAGTCTGCAATCTGTTGCTCTGTTTATGTAAGTTAGCTCTGTTGGCGCGGTAATTAAGACAATAGACTGTTGACAGTAACATTAACGTTCTGTTCTAAAGGCTAAAACGATGTTTGTGTAGTTGTGTCGAATTGTATGCGCTTATAGGAGTTTTATGGTATATGGTAAAAATATTGCAATGTCAATTTTTTCCAATATCGTGCAGCCCTAATCAGTTGTGACCAATTTCTACATTTTTTCGAAAATAAGGATTTATACACCATTGAAGTGCTGTCTAACAACCCTATCTGCCTTCTAAATGATTTTGAGCTGTTGAGCTTTACATTTAAAATGTAAAAACATTTGCGTTCCAGTTGCCAGAAATGATTTTCTAAATAAGGTTTCTAAAAAAAATCCAAAATGTAGTTAAAAAGAAAAACACAAATAATGTAAGAAAAGTTGTCACAGAAAAAGAGTGTGAATGACAAAAATGGCAGCTAGAACCTCATAATTTCCCTATTGATGTTTAGTTATTAATATTTTAAATTTTTTGTTGCTCACTTTAGTTTGCAATTGTGTGCGTGCGTGCGTGTGGATGCAGCAATACCATTTTTTTTTTTTTTTTTTTTTTTTAACCGAGGACCAATTTTTTTTTCCCTTTACGTTCTACTTTAAAATTTAATCTGTGACTCAACCAACTGCAAACCAACAAATACCAGTAGGGGTGGAATGGTAGAAAAAAATTATCAGATTGATTCATATCACAGTTTTGTGGTCACGGTTTTCAGTTTAATTCAGTTTTCATTATAAAAATCCCCTGTTGTAACAATTCGAAACCCCGTACATCAGCATAAAATGCATATCTTTATAAGCTATCATTTACAGTAATAAAATTTGTCTCAAGGCCATGTGATCAAAAATTAAAAATTAAAGAAAGAGGCAGCTTGATCTTGTTAATTGACTAATTATTATAATTAAAGGCATACATATGGTTAACTTCAGATGAAATGTATTTTTGCCTGCTGTCTTCCACCAATGTGTACTTTCACTTTAGACACTTCTGACACTTAAGCCGACTGTTATATTCGGATTCTAACTTTGTTAAATGCATTCAACCTGTATTGCAGTGCAAGAATGTGTATATTAAAAATACTGCATTGATGGATGTTAAACTTAATTTCAGCATTCATTTTGAAAAGACAACATCAGGAAAGACCATCTTTCTGTAACTGCTTGACTCGTCTAAGTCCACGTTTTTTCCGGCAAATGATAACTTGGATTAAATTTTGCATCTTATGAACCCACCAATCTATACTGCAAACTAAATGCAAACAATAAAAGGACTTCCTTCGCTACAGATTATGGTGGAGAATGGTGGCATCGTTTTAAAAAAAAATTTCTGTGAAGTAAACTTTTCATTTTATTGAGTTTTTGCACGCATGAGTGACCAAACGCACAAGCAGCTGGGTCTCTCTTCACAGCTGGGAGTACACATATCTTCCAGCCTTTATTCACAACCATTCTGTAACCTACTGTAAGTGTTAGTCTAACTAACTGGTTTTTGTAATATTTAAAACTGTTTTCCAAAGACAGCATGTCCCGCAACTTTTAAATATTATTGCACCTGTCGGAACAGTGATTTCCGTTCTAGATAGTTTCGAAGACCTCCAAATTTATCTGTTAAAGTCCTTTTTATTAATTTAGCTAGAGTGAAACTAGGCTCGCCCATTTCTCATATTTCTAGACTATATTCTCCCATGATTTTAAACAGTTAGATTAGCTACCTAACGTTTAAACCATTTTGTTTGCTGCCGAGCTAAATTAACTTCAGAACTGCTGGCTAGTTACTGAATTAATGTAGTTTGGAGTTGCAAGCTTGTCTGTGAACCGCTTTCTGACGAAAAGAATCAATTATAAATGTGTTTTAAATGCTCCTTATTTGATAGGGATGAGCGTTCCCATTTTCAGTTTAAATACCGCAAGTCTATTCTTTTTCACTGTAGTTTCGGGAGACCTCTATTTTTTTTGTTTCTTTGTCACATCTGTCACATCGCTAAATGTAATCATTCTGTCAGATATCATGCATTACTGTAATGTGATAGAGTTTTGAATGAATTTCTGAATGAAATCACTAGTTCAGCATCAGACACAGGAGAGCAAATCCATCCAAACCATGCAAGCCAGTGGAAACAGCGGCGAGGAACAAACTTTGCCATTTGGTGAAAGTGAAGGAAAAAAAAAACATCAAGAGAAACCAGGCTCAGTTGGGCACAACCTTTTCTCCTATATCTTGTGCAGAGCTGCAGTATAGGCAGCGGAGGCTGGAGAACACTGGACTGCAGGTGGGAGAGGTCACCGGCTTGTGTACAGGCTGGCCCTTCAGGATTAATGTGAAAACTCGTCTGTCACTGCGGTCTTACAGGATTCGGTGTCATGCTCTACACTCCTCCATGACCACCACAGCAGCTGCTCAGAATACGGCTTGATCCAGGATTATGGAAACACTGGGAATAATATAAAAAGATTAACATAAGCAGCTGGAGGACACCTGATACCTTGGCCTTTGTAACTTACGGCAAGGCATCAGCAATACTGTGCTCCAAGGGATGCTTACCATCAATCTTGGTCTATTACCCTGTCAGGATTCCAAACTTGTGCCCACATTCACAATCTCACTTTATGGGCCTAGAGTGGCATAGGAATCTTCAGGCAAAACCCAATTTTTAATCGAGCCAGGTGGTCGGTAACTTCATTGAGTGTTACGTATTGTGCTAAAGGCCCATACGGTTTGAGAGTTTGTGCCTGGTTGCAGTGTGGGCAAGTAATCTGGTTGTGCCTGTAATGGGCACTCAGGAAAGTCTAGATAGTCCATTTTGATTTTCAACTGGATGCCCTTAACTCAACACCAACCTCAAGTAACATGTTAACCCTAGTCTGAACCCAACCCACTGAGGACTAAAGAACCTTTATCCTAGAACCATAGCTTTATTTATTCTCTTACTCTTCCCCTTTTTAATGCATTTCTTTTTACACTTGTTCATTTGGGTGTTATTTTTTTTACTTAATGTTTATTTTTATTTATTTTATTTTTAACTTTGATCTACTCAGAGACCACTCTACTGAGAACCACCAAGGTAATCTAAATTGATTGATAACCTGCACAGCCTAACGCATGACTAAACCTTGAGGCCATTATGTAGGCATCAGCCATTGTTTAGTTAACCTGCACATTTTCATCCGAGGCACTAATTTAAAAAATTAGGTATTTTGATGAGGCATTTTGATGAAGCCAGAGATGAACTGAGTGCAGGGCAGCAAGAAGCTGAAACACATCAGAGACTAAGTTAAGAGACAGAAGCTCCGCTCAAGCTCAATGAACCTGCAGAGGGCCTATGCAGAAACCCACGCCATAACCCAACACAGAGACTTCTAAAAGATGAACTTGACAAGGTTTGCATGGAGCTGTCACAACCCTACAATCTCAGAGATGACTTGAAAGAGGAAGAGGAAACCAAGACTTTACAGCCCAGAGAGGAAGGGAAAGTCCATTTCTACTACCCCAGCCAGCATCCCAGAATGCCCATCAGCAGCATAGAGCAAAGACTCTTTCCAAAGAGTACTCAAAGACAGACACAGCCTGTCAACAAAGGACCTTAACAAGTTGGCTAGAAACATTCCAACTTTCATTCCGAACCCCACTGCAGGCAACAATGTGCATACCTACTTACAAGACATTGACTTTCACCTACAAACGATGGATGGCACCACCATGCGTGACAAGTTATATCTGCTGATAATCACTTCTAGCCATGAAGTAAGAAGTTTCCTGGACCGGCAGTCCAACACCATGGAGGGAGATTACCAGCAGATGTGACAGGCTATGATTAAAAAGTTCATTGAGCCAGAGTCAGAACAAGGGCAAATTGCAGCTATAGATCTCAAGCAGAACAATCAAGAGACTGCACAAACATGTTAAAGTCAGTTACGCCAGGCCTATTTTGGAGCACGAAATGAGCCAGGAATGGAGAAAGACTTTAATTTTTAAACTCTGTTTCTGTGAAACTCAGGCCACCATGGCACAATAGCCATGTACAACGCACTGAAACAAGTGGCGTACTGGCCCAGCATATGTCAAGACATGTCTAATGTGCTGCCAGCTTCAACCATCTAAGCCGATTCACAAAGCACCACTGCAACACAGAGGAACCACCTTTCCTTTATCAGACATCTAGATGGATCGGACAAAACTTTTCCACATCCCACAAAGAGTAAAAAATTTTTTCTCTCAAATTTTTATGCCAGTCCACCAAGTGGGTTGAGTGTCTCCCAGCACCTGATGACACAGCCCAGACCACGGCATATCTTCTGATGATGAAGAGTTATCTTAGACTGCAGCACCGACTCCACGACCAACTGCTCAAAACCAACCAACTTTTAAATATGGTCATCACAACCAGATTAAGAGACATTTGGCTTCAGACCAGGAGGAGACACTACAACTTCTGTCAAAGGAAAACGTTCAACCAAGCACAGCCCTCACTGACACACCAATTACTCTGTCCCCTTTTCCCCCTCTCTTTGCCTTTTTTTACACAGGATGCTGATACACAGGATGTAGCCAAAACCTTGTATACCTCAAAACCAGAGGTCCACTGCAACCATACAACTCCACTCATACATCACTTATTTCTGGACAAGCACACTGCTGCCTTCCCCTGAGCTTTTTACAGGGTTCCCACATGTCCTTAAAAAGTCTTAAAATGTCTTAAATTAAAATCCGGGAAATTAAGGTCTTAAATTCTCTTAAAATTAAAGTGGCTGTAGGTATTAAATTTTTAGCCGGTGTGCTTAATGACGATAGGGAAGCACAGTGATGTATTAAACATCTAATAGTTGATTAATTTATTATGTGTAAAACAGGAGAGTAATGACAGTCTCTGTGATTTATTAGCTTATTACAGGAGGTCGGGTATAGAGGTCTGCACCTGCGTGCTGTGATTACACAGTTGTTGATGTGAGGTTCAATATGCAAAGATGAGAAAGTGTAAACATAACAACATGGCAAAGAGGCAATGTGTAAATTCTGCAAAAAGACCTTTTTGTTAGGGACCATGGGGCTCAAAGTCGTTAAGTCGCACATGAAAGGAGGAAAGCAGCACCAGGACGTTGCAGCAGCTAACTTAGTCATAGCAGGTCCAGGTTAATCCCTGCATTGTTTGCAGCTCGACCTAACAATGCTACTAGTTCAGACAAGAGCTGAAGATCTTTGTTGGGTTTGGACTTTATTTCTATCATTTTAGACGGGGTCCAAACAATCCTACCCAAAACATGCTAAATTAGCCAGATCAGTAGTGCATCCCGGCCAGTAGCAGCAGCAGTGAAAGGGGTGCTCAGTGAACGCAGGACTGCACTAAAGCCGTTTACAGTGGATTCAATAATGTTCCCCCACAAAAACACATAGCCTAATCTTAATGAGTAAAGAATTTTAAATTATAACTAAATATTAATAAAATCATAATGTAGTCAGAGTATACAGGCTAATGCTGGCATTATTCTTTTATTATTCAGCTTCACCATCGCTTTATTGTGAAGAGAAGAGGCAAAACAAATCCCACAGAGCCTTTATCTTAATTTCGTTAGTGCCAAATACCTGTCATCATTTATCTTTTAATTAATTTGCTAAGAAACACAAATTTTTACTGTTGCGTTAGCCAATTTAAAGGCTAAGTGTATGTAGCCAGGCTTATTTAGAGTGCTGAAATGTTAAGATATTACAGAGGACTTATTTTATTTTTTTTGTTCCAACTTCCAAGTGGCCTATAGCCAATGTTATGAATAAGTAATGTTAAACCATATAAACGACTTATTCATGAAAATAGACAAAAGAGCTGTGTGCATGTGCACATTTGGATAATGTCGGGCTATAAACGGGTTCGTGCTTTTAAAAAGCTGTTAATCAATAAGTACTTGTCGGGCTCTGGCTATATCAGGCCTACCTTTTATAGCCTGATAACAGCTCTAGTTCAGACGCCCCCTCACAGTCAGCTACATGTATAACAGTTTCATTTCACCACCAGAAACCTAAAAGGCAGGTACTGTGGGTTATCCATACTGTGACAAGTCACAATTTATTTAAATCTAATGACAACATTAAAATGAGTAGCCTATTCCAAAAAAAATTAACATTTTTGGGTCCTAAATTATATTTGTTGAGGTCTTAAAAAGCATTAAATTTTACTTTTAAAATGGTGCAAGAACCCTATTTCAAGAACAAAGTTGAACTGTTATGGAGAGTAACGCATAGTAACACACCAATAAACTGCTTCGAAGACTGCTTGCATATTGTGTATTTTGCATATGCAAGTATATTTTAAATGGAGATGCGTGACTTGTGCACACAAAAAAAGGAATGACATGTATATGCTGTGTCAATCGGCTGTACTGCACCTGCGCTTAGTGAGTGGCTTTGAGGAGGCACAGGCACAAGAGAAAGATGCACACACACAATGCAGGTATCCAATGCACTCTTGTGCTTCTGAATGCCTGTTTTCATTTATTCGTATTTTTTATGTTGCATCTCCTGCAGTCGGCCAAATTGCTTGAATCCTTTGACATGTTACATATTCACATGTCAATTATCTGTTAACATATTGGTATACGTTAACACGCTATTTACATGTTTTTGTCCAGGGAGAGAAATGAAGTGCAGAGATTATTAGTTAACACATAAATTGCTTAACAAGTGTTAACAGGTAAATTTCGCTTTAACTTTTACCAACTTTTTTACCAACACATTTATGTAAATGCGTAACAATGTGTAAAAGCATTTGTTGCAGATGTTTTGGCACCAACAGCTCATATATCATTGCACAGCCAAATAAGGCACCTAACCCTAGTTATCATTCAGTTTGAAAACTTTCTACACTGCCAAGCCTGACATTATGTTCCTGCTGCTGGAGCATCTGAGTGTTATATACTGTATGTACTATACTATATATATATATATATATATATATATATATATATATATATATATATATATATATATATATATATATATATATATATATATATATATATATATATATATATATATATATATATATATATATATATATATATATATATATATATATATATATATATATATATATAAATTGTATAAATATACATAATATAATTTTTTTTTTTTTTAGTGGGAGGTTCCTGTTGACTATGTAAATGTCATACTAGCAATAAAAGACAAACTGACACGAGACCTGGTGTACATCTTATTGGCCAAAGGTCTGCACTGCATCAATATAACGGTGAGTATCTGTACAAAACTCACTTAAATCATCAAGTATGTTTACCATACACAGCAGTTCATAAAAGGCTGCTTAAGACACAACAAATGTTTGTTTAGTTTTTTTTACAACCCCAAATCCAAAAATGTTGGGACTGTATGGAAAATGATAATGAAAAAATGCACATGCCGTGTATATTTTAACAACACAAAGCAAAACCCCATTTTGCACACATTAGAAAAATCTGGCTACGGAGAAGAAGAATACAGGTTCCCAATAAAGAATGTCACCAATAAAGAATGTATGGCATATTTTGAAGCGCAAAATGTGACAATGAAGACTATATACTGTTGCCCACTTTAAGACTTTGCAGAATAAATGGCACAAAATTACACCTGAAACACTTCATCACTTGGTTTCTTCTGTCCCTAAATGTCTGTTGTGAAGAGTAATGACAACATTACAATGTGGTAAATTCTTTACTGTTATAATTTTTTTTAAATGTGTCACAAGAACCAAAATTGAAATGTGCTTTATTTAAAAAAAAAAAAAGCTAAATCATGAGGCGCACATTAATTAATGTGCTTTTGTATTGTCTGCAATGAAATACAAGTCAAAGTAAATTTAGAAATTACTTCTTCTTTTTACTGTCCCGACTTTATGATTTGGGGCTGTAAATTGAGCAGCAACAGTAGTCATAGTACAATGGCAGTTTTTTTAGACAAGGTTAGGAAAGATTAGGATTTTTTGTGTGGATCTAGGTGTATCAAAGTTTTTGGAGTTGTTAAGAGTTTATAATAAATCTACCAGCTGTTCTGCATATTTTGACAGGAATGCTCTGATTTGCCCAATTTAGCAAAAGACTGTGAAAGACTTTGCTGTGGCATTGCTGAGATGTATGTGTGCAGTAGCATTTAAACACTAATGTTTCCAATGTCTGTTGGTGGAGGTTAGCAAAAAGGAAATTGATTTGATTAAAGATACACTCTTTGCGAACACTAGGAGAACAGTGGGTGTTTGTTAAACCACTTTATTTTAATTCCAGATTTACTATATTAAAGGTGCAGTATGTAAGTTTGACCTCCAGTGGTTGAAGTAGTTATCACAGTCATGGGACAAAACAAATGCAAGTGCTGGCAAGGCATTGGCACCCGATATAAGGAATATTTTTCATATTAAAAGGAGTTTTCCTAACTAACACATTGAATTGATATTAGAACTATTTCTCACAGGTGAACAACATAAACCTCATGTACTTTATTCAGTGTTAAATGCTAACAATGTGAGTTTGAATGCCATTTTACATGACGTTCATTGCCATATACTGAAAGCAGCAGCAGATAGTTCACCTCAGATCTCGTCTGGTGCAATCTGCCAAAATGCTTATCACTGCGTATCTCATCATGAAGCATGTTGTTAGGAAACAAGGTTACCGTGTAACATGCTCACCTTCATGATTGTGAAACGCTTTGGGTGTATGGCCATACACAATTGTAGCGTACAGTTCATAGGTAAAACTACTTATTGATTTTAAGAAATGATCTGGTGTCGGTCTACAGGACAATTTCGATCACCCGGTGCCAGGGAGTCTGCTGGGTGAGACAGAGATCATCCCTGGCTGACAGTTTTATTACTCCGGGACACTTAACAGGTTTTCTTGGGTCCCTTCGACTAGAACTTCAAAGACATTCCTGTTCCCTTCTGTCTACATACACACACACACACACACACACACACACACACAAGCTCTCGACGCTGAAAAGGGACTCAGAAATCCAGGATCAGCCCAAAGCTAAATGTTATGTTTTGTAAACTTTGCATTTCATTTCTGAATTTTCTTACCTGTATAATCCCTCATATAGCTTGTATGCCTTGTCAATAATAATCAATAATGTCAGAATGTGTAAACCAAGCCTACGTACTCCCAAGGGCACCATGTGTAGTATCGATATGCAGCTTACACAATTTTACAACACATAAGGTGTAGTGCATGATCATAATCACCACGGCTTACAATTTTTAATGCTCTGAATTAATGCCTCTCTGCATGCTTTTGGCGGACACTCAATTTGCATAAGAGCAGACTAGAGACAAAGAAAGGTTTCGCGCTCAAACTTTGCCCTGAAATCACTGGTTGAGCCAGCCTAGAGGGCATGTAACTTGACCCATGGTTAAAACCGGTCTCCTCCCCAAGCTCGTCACAGAACGTCCGAACAAAGAACCCCCCCCGGGAGGTCGCCCCTTTGAGGCGTTGAGGCTCTTTTGTGCCTGCGTGGCTCTCAGAGCTCACGTTTTCTTATTTTTCTGGCAAAGTAAACTCAGTTTAAAGTTGCGATCGCATTTCCTCTGACCTGTATTGCAAATTCCACGCATCAAGAAAGCACATTGAAAGAACTTCCAGCACATCGGAAGAAACTCACAAAAAGAGAGAGACCGCCAAACCCTAAAGTCCAGCGGCCTCATGTATCAACGCTGCGTACGCACAAAAACTTTCCGTACGCCAGATTTCACGCTCAGAATCACTCACGTTTGGATTTACTAACAATGAACTGAACGTGGGAATGTGCGCAGCTTCACGGCAGCTTTCTGGCTGGCGTACGCACATTTTTTGTGCGTGTCTGTTTTATTTCCATTGGCGACTCCTAGAGGCAGTTGTGTTAAATTCCTCTCTACAAAGTGTCTGAGCCTTGCAATGGCAGCTGTATGAGACGGGTTCATCTAACAGGTATATAAGGTTTCCATACCATACAGTTGACCAGCTAAACATTAAAGCACAATTTGCAGCGGTTGCCTGTTTTCCCAATGTAATCTGAGCGATCTACTGCACACACATTGCTATAAAGGCACCATCTGAAGATGAATTTGCATACGTGAATCAGAAACATTTCCATTCAATAAACGTGCAAATAAAATATGATGCACAAACTTACTGATGATTCCTACTTGTCTTTCTCGTGATAAATAGTTGGCAAAATCTGATATGTAGCGGAGGAAAAAAGAAGAAAGAGTTCATCAGACGCTGTATTCGAGCCGAGTTCATGCTCGAACGTGTCAATACATGATCACATGCATCTAAAGAGCTGCGCCACTGAGACTGTTAAGAGTACTGCAACATTTTACAGATATAAACCACACTATTTCTTTTTTTTTTTTATGCACTCAGTGCGATGTTCAGACCCAACTGTGTTAACCGCATCAGCTAAACTCTCCCACTCTATTTTTTTTTTTTGTTGTTAATTCCGGAGAACAAACTTGCAAATAACACCGCTTTTTCATGGCCTACCTCCGAAAGCAGCACCTGCAATTCACATTCTGTTCAAAGTTTCTCTTTTTGCTTGCTTTTGCCATTGCTTTTTCGTTGGGTTTTTCCATTAGCATAGTCATAAGCATATTCATACGAGGGAGGAGGCAGGGAGGGGTTTTGTGCTCGTGCATGTTGCGCTCAGTTTCACGTTCATTCGGATGTACAAAAGAATATGCGTGAGATTCGGCGTACGCAGTGTTTCATACATCTGAATTTTTTTCTGCGTACGCACATTTACAGCTTTGTGCGTACGCAATGTTTTAGTAAGATTTCCACGCAAGTCTTCGTACATGAGGCCCCAGGTATTTTTAGTTATGCAAATAAGCTGTGCCCCTTTTATCAAAAAGGTTTTTTTTTTTATAATCTTGGTGATTTTTAATAATGTGTGGAACTGAGGTAGATTTGCCACTCTTTATCTGAAATCTCTATTTCCACGCTTTTCTGTTTCTTTCTGTTTGTTAAATGTTCTATAGACTCGTATATAGCCTATCTAGATTTGTTCTCTGTTTTATGTTATGTTTGTGCGTTTGTTCGTTATATGTCAGACTAGTCAATAAATTCCGTTATAATCAAATGGATTATATTGTCTTGCCTCACAGAAAAAGTCACTGACTGATAGAACCTTTTACTACCAGCTGCTATTAAGTTAATCAAAAACTTATGAATAATTAAGCTACCTCACAAGGAGTAGTAATAATTCCCTTTCTAAATAAATAGATCATTACAGAGTCCGCTCGGACGAGCGGCGAGGTCTGGTTATATTTATTTAGTCAAATTAACAATAAGTAAATGCAGAATATTCATGATTAATAATAATTCGTTATTGTTGATAATTAATATTCATAATCCGAGAGTCCACTCGGCCAAGCGGCGGGATCATGTACAATTATATATTTGTTTAACCAAATTGACCGAAGGTTAAGCCAGAATATTAGTATTTAATAATAACTCATTATTATTGATTATTAATATTCATAAACTGAGCTAATTTCATTTACATAATGGTGGAGAATGCAGCAGTCATATTTCAAACATTTTTCTGTGAAACAAGCTTTTCAATTCATTGTGATTGCTTGCGTGCTCTAGAGAAGAAAAAAGCACAGCGAGAAGCGTTTTTCTTTTCTCCAAAGCTGGAAGGACGAAAGTCTCCTCCAGCCTTTTGTTCACTAACACAGCAGAGAACTGTCTAAGTTTTGAGTGTAACGATTTAAACTGCAGTTCATAATATTTTAAATCGATTTTGCAAAGACGCACATTCCGCAAATCATTTAAATATATTATTGTGCCTGTCTGAACAGAGAATTCCCTCAGTGCTTTTAAAGGGTCACAAAACACCAAAACACATTTTTTGAGCTGTTGACAGTCGTATATGTGTCCCACACTGCTAAAAATACAATTAGGACACATAAATTTCACTAAAAAGTGAAAATTGGTTTTTTTTTTTTTTTTGCGTTATTTCGAGCAAATTCGTACTTCTGGTTTGAAACTAATTTTTGATGCTGCGTCATGGCCATGAGATCATAGCGTGTATTCCAGCGTGTGGACTGGACGTCTGTACCAAGGCGTCCCGTATTACGTCTCTGAGTGTGTTGCATTCATTCATTAGTATGGCTTGGTTCAAACCAATCAGCGCACTTCATTATGAATGTCCTGCAACTTCATTAATATTCATGCTAGCTTTCTTGGACTGTACCTGAAACAGTGTTCAGACGGCAGA